GGGGGGCGGGCGGCCAGAGGGGGTTAAGGGAGGAGGGAGGCGGGTTTCCAGGGCGGGGTGGGCCCAGAGGGCTGGAGCCAGGCAGTGTGGTTGGGGCCAGGAAGCCCCTACTGGCCCGAGGGGTGAGAACAGAGCCCTGAGTGCGGGGCAGAGGCAGGGGACCGACTGGGGGGGGAGGGACTCACCCCGAGAAGCACGGCTGGGGGCGAGTGCCGGGAGCCAGCGCCCCAGCCCCCCTGGCTGTCTCCAGGCTCCGTCCCTGCAGGGGGCCCGAGGCCCTGGGCCGGGGCTGGGGCAGGACAAGGGCCCACGTGCACGGTGCCAGCCGCAGTGGGGTGCACACCTAGCTCGGGGAGGGCGGCGACAGGCCAGGCTTGGGGTCCCGGCGCAGGCAGGGGCGGCCACGGGGAAGAGCAAGCCCAGCAGCCGGCCAGAGGAGAAGGGGTCTGGTGAGGGCGTGGGCAGCCGGCCCAGCAGGGACAGCGCCTGGGAGCTGCTGGCCCCACACAGGGGGTGCCGCGGCCCTGAAGACCCCCCCTCTCCCTTGCGCAGGTAGGCGGATGGGGCCGAGGCCCTCTTGCGGGGTCAGCCTCCCCCTCCTGCCCCGCGGCCTGCTCTTGCCAACGCCCCTCCCCCGGGCTTCCGGACTCAGCTTGACCCCAGCCCCAGCGCTCCTCTCTGACCTGAGGCACCTTGCGGGGAGGGGGCGTCGCCCACCGTCCGGAGGGGTGTGCCATCCGCGAGGCTGTGCAGGCTGGGGAGGCGCGGCCGCAGCTGCCCAGGGCCTGGCCTGCGGGCCAGCCTGCCCCACGCCTGCCTCCGCCCCGCGCCCGTGGCACCGTCACTCTACAGCCTGAGGGAGAGGGAGAGGGAGACCGGGGCGGGCCCCGCCGTAGGATGAGGGGCGCTGGACGCGGCGTCCGGAGCCCGGGGTGTCCGACGACGCCGCGCCAGGCCACGGCGGCATCACGCTCCCCGCAGCGGCCAGTTAACGCCAGCGGCTCTCTAGCTGCGCGACCCTGGCGAGCGAGTGTGATGTCACCGCGCCCAGAAGTTCGTCTGCAAAGTGCCGGTGATGCCCGGCCGCCCGGGCGCAGGGCTGTGGGGGCTGTCTGGCCTCAGCGCTCTGCTAACAGCACTAACCTGGCGCCCGCCCTGACCCCCGCTCGCGCTAACCCGGCTCACACCAGCCCACCCCAGCGCCCACAGGCCGGGGCACTGGCCCTGCTGCCTCACGCCCACCCCCCACCTCCCCCAGCCACCAAGACCCGGAGGCGGAGGCCGAGCCCCACGCGCTGGTGCCGCGCAAGTGGGTGCTGTGTGACTATGACTTCCAGGCCCGCAACAGCAGCGAGCTGTCGGTCAAGCACAGGGACGTGCTGGAGGTGAGGCCCCGCCCCCCGCGGCCGTGAACCCCCTCAGCTGCAGCAAGCTCTGACCCCGCCCCTCGCGCCGCCCCCCAGGTCCTGGACGACAAACGCAAGTGGTGGAAGGTCCGCGACCAGCAGGGCCGGGAGGGCTACGTGCCCTATAACATCCTGAGCCCCCACCCAGGGCCCCAGGCGGGCCCCGGCCAAGGCTCCTCGGCCAGCAACCTGGTGAGTGGCCCCAGCCCCCAGGGCAGCGGGCGGGCGGGGCCTGGGGGCCGTCGGGCACCAGAAGTGGCTAGGGTTGCGCCAGGGCGCACGCCCTCTGACCCAGCGCGGCCTCGGCGCCCTCTCCAGGACAGCACGCCCCCGCCCCCGCCCGCGCCCGCGCCCGCGCGGCCCCACTGGGACAGCTGCGACAGCCTCAACAGCTTGGACCCCGGCGAGAAGGGTGAGTAGCGGGCAGCCTGCGGTCTGCCCTCCACCTCCAGGCAGGGGCGGCTCGCGGTCGCCGAGGAGGTGCCTCCCCCGGCACAAACCCCGGCACAGCCAGCG